CCCCGCCCGGCTCGGACGGCGCAGCCGAGTGAAATATGGATCGTATGACTGATTACCCACGTTCGGCCGACAGCGCTTCTGGGCCGGGCGGGGAGGGGTGTGCGAGAGGGGAGAGTGCTTCGTGCGTATGTTTTGTCTTTGCACACTACATGTTGAACCAGGCACGCACGGCTGGGCAGAAATCGCTCGGAAATGTCGTCGCCCCGGAGAATCCCGATACCCACCGCCGCGTTCGTGGAGACGACGCCTCTGCCGAACAAATCGGCCAGACGGGGCAAGAAATTTGATCAGGCATGAGAAGGGCTCCGGGCGGCTGCACGCGTCCTGCTCCTCACTCACCTATGGTGGTGATGACGGTGAGCGAGTACAAGAAGGCGCCCGAGAAGGACCAGTTGTCGGTAGCCTTGGTGCTGTCCGAGCCGCCCGACTTGTACGCGCTGACGAGCCCTTCCTGGTACTTCCGAACAATCTGCGTCACCTTCGGCCACAAACAGCAGAAAAAAAAATGGTAAACATACGCATTGACAAAGAGGAAGCAAGTTGAAGTGATGACGACATACCTCGGCCCGCCAGGCGGTCTCCTCCAGGGGCACGACACCGCAGCAGGTCACGTTCCAGAGCTCGCTGGCCGTGAGGTTGAGCAGCACGGCGGCGTCCTCCTCGCGGTGCGTCTGGCGCGACTTGTTGCCACCCTCGATCTTCTGGAAGATGAGCGCGCCCACGATGGAGTAGCCCACGACCAGCCCGATGATGCCCACGTTGCTGAACATGAAGGCGACAAAGTGGCGGAGGAAGTCCTTGATCTTCTCGCCGAGAGGCTTTTGCGGGCGCCGGGACGGGTAGCCCCGACGTACCGAGCGCTTGCGCTCCATGGCAGCTCCTGGGGGGCCGGCAAGCGCGCAAACTCATGCCTCCTCCCGGGGGCCGCTCCTCGACGACAGCGTCGACGGCGGCGTCCTCGAAGGCGGTGCCCTCGACGGCCACCTCCAGGTACGGCGGCGGCCTCCGCCTTTTCTTCTTCCTGGTGGCGACGTCACGCATCGGTTCGCCGCCGAGCCGCGGGCACCGAGGGCCGGGGGCCGGGCCGGCTGGGCGGCGAGGAGGCGGCAGCAAGCCCCGCGCCGCCATGGGGCCGGGCCGACATCACACGGGCGTCCGCGTCCCGGGCACCCTGGCCGGCCGCCGGGGGCGCATCTGCAACCGGGAGACATGGGGGGTCAGGTCAGGCAGGCGGGCGACAAGGAGGGCGAGGGGGCGACGATAGGGAGAGCCGGGGAATACGCAAGTGGGGTTGTGGGGCGAGCTGGGGCTTCTTTGGAGGAGGACTGGAGAGGGGCGCGGGCTTGGCGACGAAGATTGAAGAGATTGGGGAAAGGGGGGGGGGGTGGCTGCCGCTG